TATATAGTAAAAAAAATTAATTTGTGTTTTTCCATTAAAGTTTTCATATTTGTTTTTTTTTTATATTCTTTTTTTTACATATATAGTAAATTTTTTTTACCAATTTGTCCTAGTTTCTCAAAGTCTCAGTAATCCTAACATATCTTTAATTAAAAAAAAAAATTTTTTTCTCACTGCCACATTCTCTATCACTTTCTTCCTTTCTCATTCTATTTCAAAAACAAAAATAAAAAATTTTCTCACACACTTTGTGTGTGCCCATATGCTAGTCTATATAGATAAAACTGGTGGGAGAATCATCGTAGCTGAGTCCATGTTCAAACTTCAAATACTAGTTGAACTTTATATATATAATTTTTTTTTACAACAAGACTAGTTGAACTTAACTCTAAGACCTCATGTGCTGGCGGACCCAATTTGGCGACTCTGTTTTCATTCCTGCGTGTGAAGTTTTCGAGTTAAAATCTCTTCCATTGTTAAAAAGAAAAATATCACTGTAACAATAACTAATCGGCATGAAACACAACTTTAAGACACTATCCATCTTCTTTTGGGTGATGTTGAATCCTAAACACTTAGTTTCTACTTTTTAAGGGATGTTTGAAATAAAATTGATAATTGTTGATTAGAAAGTATAAAAAAAAGCTAAATCCAAGTCATGGATGACTCCGAAGGGGGAGCAACCGATGCAATTGCAAGAGCGCCCCACCCCTCACACCAAATATACCACATGAATTTTCAAACTATATAAAACTTAATTTGAAAGCACACCAAGCTTCATGTCTTTTTGGATATGGTCAATGTTTGAAAAGTCTACATTCCAAAGGCTCAAAATTAAATGAATCTTCGGTGTGATTTCTTAGACCAAATAAACTCAAAACAAATGCCCCTTGCTGTTATCGTTTGGACCAAATAAACTCAAAACAAATGCCCCTTGCTGTTATCGTTTGGACCAAATAAACTCAAAATTATTCCCTTTGCTGTTAGGGTTTTGTCTGCAGGCCCTCCTTCAAGTGTTTGTTCTCAATTATGCATGTATAAAAGGGAATTTGCACAAATGGTTCTTACAACATGTATACTACTTAGACAAAAACGACACAAAACATATTTTTCAACGACAATAAAATTAGTGTATCTTAATGTCAAATTTTAAGTACCGTACTCTAAGTAAATGACAAAAATGCAATTGAAAAACAGTACTCGTGAAGTTCAGGTGTTAGACAAAAATGACACAAAACATAATTTTCAACGACAATAAAATTAGTGTATCTTAATGTCAAATTTCAAGTACCGTACTCTAAGTAAATGACAAAAATGCAATTGAAAAACAATACTCGTGAAGTTCAGGTGTCAAATGTTCCCTAGGAGGGAGGACACCCGACGCCCGATCAAACAAAAAATTTGGGTGTCAAATTAGCATATTGTCAGCGACGAGAATGCTATTGAAAAGGGACCGTCTTGAAGCTTGAGTGCCAAATTGCAATACAATATGAAGTTTGGGGATAATTATAAAAACATTTAATTTAAGTGGTAATTGCACGAAACCAAAAAGTCCATGTACTATTGTGCAAAATATTATAAAAAAGAGAAAAAGAAAGAAAAATCGGATGGTGGGGGACAAGAAGAAGCGCTTAGCAGGTTGAACAGTCCAAAAGAGCAGCTGGAGTCGACACGTGTCGGTAATTAGCGATGTTGACTCGGCGGAGCCACCGGAGAGAGAAAATGTTTTCTTCCTCACAAATCACAATATTGACGAAAAACAAAAACAAAAATCTAAAAATTCCAAAATCTGCAATTTCACTTGCATTTGCATTTGCATTTCATTTCATTTCGCAGCGAGCGGGAGAGACTCTCTCCATTCCTTCTTCACATAAATAAAATACAAATTTCGATTTAATTTCCAGATTTTTTGACCTTTTTAATTTTTTTTCTGTTTAAACAAATAAAACAAACACGGTGCGAGGAATGATAGAAGAGGGGTCGAAACTCGACCGCTCGCCTCTAAAACGACTCGTTTCGCTCCCCGCCTCGAGATCGCTCCGCCGGCGCTGAGTTCGCGCGCATCGGTTTATTTTTATTTATTTTTGGATCTGTAGGAATCGGAATTGGCGATTGGATCTGAGGGCGGCGGTGTTAGTGGTGGTGAAGCGAAGCGATGCCGTCTCATTCGGATCTGGACCGTCAGATCGAGCATCTGATGGAGTGCAAGACGTTGCCGGAGGCGGAGGTGAAGACGCTGTGCGAGCAGGCGAGGGCGATCCTGGTGGAGGAGTGGAACGTGCAGCCGGTGAAGTGCCCCGTGACGGTGTGCGGGGATATACACGGCCAGTTTTACGACCTCATTGAGCTGTTTCGGATAGGAGGGAACGCTCCCGATACTAATTACTGTTTTATGGGTGATTATGTAGGTCAGTTTCTTTTTTCTTTTTCTTTCCTTTTCTGCTTTTTTTTCCTTCTTTTCTTTTGGGTTTTCATTCGTTTACCGTTTTTGGGATTTATTTGTTAATTTATGGAAATGAATGAGGCTCTGGATTTGATTTCTGTTTGACTTGCGAATAATCCTGTTTGTATATTTGAAATCACATGCTATGATCCGGTTGTTTTCTTGGATTAATGAGAAAAGGATTAAATTTTATGTGATATTTTGTTGTGGCCTCGATCAATCTTACCGTAATTGTTATCAGGGAATTGGTTGGAATGTCAAGAATGATTTTCCGTAAATGGGGAAAAAATAATTATGCTGAGCCATATGCATTGTGTTGTTTAGCTTAATTGATGGGTTGACATTGTTTTAGAAAGTGGAACGCCTCAGTTTGGAATTTTACATGTACATATGTGCCAGTGTTTTCATAATATCATGTTGCACAAATGCAGATCGTGGGTACTATTCCGTGGAGACTGTCACGCTTCTGGTCGCCCTCAAAGTCCGTTATAGAGATAGAATTACAATCCTCAGGGGAAATCACGAGAGTCGGCAAATTACTCAAGTGTAAGAATGTTTATTCTATTTCATGTCTGTTGCTCTTAGTCTGGCAGTTTTGTTATAGCAATCCAAGTATGTGGGCTGTGTCTAAATTTTCACTGTGTTGTTTTGCTGATTGACTCTAAATGTTTTACAAAAGATTAGTGTAGATAATGCTCGGAAATGCCATGTTAGCTTGAAGGCTTTTTCTCCTTTTTCCTTGGCTTAGTCTCTTGACAGATTTTATTATTTAAGCGATGTAGATACTTGCTTTCGTAGTTAGATATAGTATATAGTATGCTTTTGTGGGACTGTACACTCCAGAAAAAAATCATGTTTTTATAATTCTGTGGTCCCTAGAATATATTTCCATGTTCCCTGGGGTATCCAAATGACAGCAGAATATATAAGGTATAGCCCTTCAAGGCTCCCACATCATGTTCCTATCGTTAAAGGCTCCTGCGTTATGGTAACATTTTCTTAAATATTGACATGTCAAATCCGTCCACTGTACTTTATATGGCTGCAGTGGATGGGGTTCCATTGATACTGGAACCAGCGCTATTTACAAATTACTTGTTGATGTGGCTGCATGGAAAAATAAAGCCGAGAGTTGAATCAGCTTAATTCCATTAACTTTTGAAAGATTTGTTGATTGACAGAGAGATTTTTTTTCTTCTCTTTATTGGATCCTAGTTTTATTCATTTGTGTCCCTTTTCCAGGTATGGTTTTTATGACGAATGCTTGAGAAAGTATGGGAATGCCAATGTCTGGAAGTTCTTTACCGATTTATTTGATTATCTTCCCCTTACAGCCCTCATTGAGAGTCAGGTTAAGTTACTTGTTTTGCTGGCAGTTTGATGAACTTCTTCAAGACATGTTGGTTGCAGTAGTTTCTGACAGCTTCTGGTATATCTTGTAGGTCTTCTGTTTGCATGGGGGTCTTTCACCATCTTTGGACACTTTGGACAATATTCGAGCTTTGGACCGTATACAGGAGGTATGCATGCGTTATATGCTTCAATTCAGTTACAAATATGGGCGCATGGTTTTGCATCGTATAAGCGTGTTTTGGTTATTTTTACATCATAACATGTTTCTGCATGAGCAGGTTCCACATGAAGGACCAATGTGCGATCTCTTGTGGTCTGACCCAGATGACCGCTGTGGGTGGGGAATATCTCCACGTGGTGCTGGTTACACATTCGGGCAGGATATAGCCGCTCAGTTTAACCATACCAATGGACTCAGTCTCATTTCAAGAGCCCATCAGCTTGTCATGGAAGGATACAATTGGTGCCAGGTGCGCGAACCCGATTGGAAATAGAAGCTTGTTCTCTATTCCTCATTTTGCATCATTTTTAGCTGTATTTCAACTTTCATCGTAACTTTGTCTTTCAGGAGAAGAATGTGGTGACTGTTTTTAGCGCTCCAAACTATTGTTATCGGTGCGGGAACATGGCTGCAATTTTGGAAATTGGGGAGAACATGGAACAGAATTTTCTGCAGTTTGATCCCGCACCTCGTCAAATTGAACCTGACAACACACGCAAGACTCCGGACTATTTTTTGTAATTTCAATTTCTTACAGGCTGTTTGTAATCCATGTTTTCTGCCATGTTTAGATGCGTCGTTAAGGAGTTGTGTTGTTTAAGTTTGAGGGTTATTGTCAACATGATTCTTTTGTTTGGAGTTTTTGGTCCACACCGCTGCTGCTTTGTTGATTTTCTGAAGAACCTCGTTAGGAGAACTGACAATGGTCACCGATGGCCTGTGGCCGTTGTCTTGTATATTTTTCGGAAGGAAACGTCAATAACACAGTATATCTTGTTCTGGAATTTTGCAACCTCAACGTAGAAAAGCTTGTTTGGATGTGCTTTTAAAATGATTGAAAACGTTTTTGGTGAAAATATTTTTGGAACCAAAATTTTTTTCTTTCTAAATACGTTTTTAATCATTTTAAAAACAGATTCAAATGAATGCACGTTTTAAGGCAAGAAATTGCTATGAGCCATTTGGTTGCTGCATTTGCTCGCATTGAACCGAAAAATAACTTATATTGAACTGCATGGTAATGTAGGAATTTTTTTACATTTCTTTCGCACAAGTGTCTTTTGAAATACAATCCTAACGGAAGAATAATAAGCTGTGTGATAAATATTGCAGAACAGATGAAAAGAACACTAAAAGGATCCTTTTAACGCGAGAAATAGTATGCAGCAGATGGTACAGTTCGAGTGAGCTTCCGATGTGGCATCGAATCTCCATTTAAAACCTGGAGTTGTTCTGAATTCGTACAAATCCTGCAGTTGAAGTAGTCTGCTTTCTTCTGAAGTATACTAATGAACCGCTGATGAGCAACAAGAACAGCACGATCACCTGTTCCAGTAGTTCATAACACCATACATTAACATGGACAAAAAAATATAGCCGAACTAGCATTTCAAGGATACAAGCCACAGTTAGTTTCCGTTCTCAATACCCTTCGATTAACTTGTTTGATCAAGCATATTGCGACAACCACCGGGCTCATTTTTCATATCGGATATAAACAAGCAAAAAGGAGGGTACCAAAACGTATTATCAAAAGATATAAGCATACCTCGAAACCAAGCACCGACAACTTCTCTTCATTAACTGCTGGTATACAGCTTCTATATGTAATGTAAGCCTGTGGCTCTTGTGTGGATGAATCATCAAGTAAACTTCTATGCTTTACATAAGTACCAAGGTCGTCTGCTTTATCCGATTCTTCAATGTTGTGGGAGATCTCCAGAGCAGATCGACTCTTTTGAGCACCTTTCATTTTAGCTTCCTTTGAGCCATGTTTCATTTCAACACATTTCAAGGGGATGCGATACCCAGTCTCACTGCAGCGATACTTCTCGTCTTTCTACAGAAGAAACAAATAATTACAACCGTACAAGGCAAAGGAATCAGAAACATGCGAGAACACATAAAGCCAACACAAAATTCAATCTTCAAAAGTGAACGACATGCAGCAATGATTCATATAATCATATGATATACACGGTTAATTTTCAGACCACCATTATTTCAAATCATTGCATTACAGCTACAGCTGCTTCTAACAATCTACGAAAGGCAAATGAATTGCGCTAATGTGGTCCACATATGTGAGGGCAGTTCACTATCTCATATAACCTCATTTGGTTATATCTAATGAAATCCTAAAATACCATAATTCATAGCAGAACGAGTTAAAAATATTGCTTATCGGGGCTCGTTCGAACCCAACATAAACCACAATGGAAGTGCTTCAAATTCCATTCAGTATCAATCCAGTGTGTTCAATTATCAATCCTGATTTGCACTACTGTTACTCAAGTGTAGATCAAAATCAAACCAAACCATTTTGTCCAATACTTTTCTCAATTTCACGAAAAATTGGCGACCAGGGAATGTCCCGCGACAAAAATCCAAACTTGCAGCATAAGCTAAACTAGACCAAACAATTCTTTTCAAATTTGTTCTTAATTCGAGGAAAACTTCCGAACACCAAACATTCCACAACAAAATCCAGAAACTCAAATCATATCCAAATAACCTCAAACAATAGTTGAATGCTCAAGATATTCTACTACACACCAGGATCACAAGGTACATTAGAATACGATTGAGAAACAATCAATTGGCCGAAATGCAATCATAAAAAACGAAATATAAAACGATCAAAAAGCACAAGATTAAAAACCTTTTCGGGGTAAAGGCAAGGAACGCAAGGGCCAGCCGGAGAGCATTCGTAGGTGGCGTTGCTTCCGTGAGGAGTTTCTTTCAGACTCAGCAGCGCCCTCCTCCCAATCCCTCCTCCGCTTTCTTCGCTTCCGATCCTGAAATACCAAACCCAACAAAAAAAAATTGTTGAAAATTCAACTGCCCCACTTAATCGCATATCAAATATTCGCAAGCATACATATATATACACATATATATGTATAGATTCCAGGGTTAGGGCTTACGTGGCGTGGGCTAGAGAGAGCAGATTGAAAGCTATGGAGAAGAGCAGTAGGAGAAAGAGTGATGAATCTGAAGGCATAATTGCTTTCTCTCTCTTCGCCTCTTTCTTTCTCTTCTATTCTCTTCTGCAAAATCGGGAGCTTCATAATTTTTTTTATTTCCCTGGATGACCCTGAAGTTCTTTGATATTATAAAATTGGCCCCCGTATTTCACAGTATTTCACAAACTGGTTTATGGGCTTTTGTAACCGGGCCGTTGTTTGATGAGACGAGGACATATCGTTTACATTTGGGCCCTAATAGTAATGCTCATGAGTTCATAACTGCAGCCCACCCATTCGCAGTTGAATCTTGAGTGACTGGGACTTTTCCCACAAATTACGGTTTTGTTTACACAAACTTGGGCGAGGAGGAAGAAGGTTGCCGGATATGAAGTTGGGTGGCCGACGGCTGTTAGGTTTTCTGGTTTTTTATTTTATTTTATTTTAATTTTACAGTTAACACTGTTAGATAGGAGAAATGCTGAGGGCTTTTTTAAAAGTGGGACTCCTTATAAATTTTTTGTAACCTCATAGTTTAACATCAATTCACGTGCTAACATTATCAAAAATTGTGCAAAAAATATGAGGTGTCAAAGAGTTTCACTTTTGAGAGAGTCAGCTTAGCATTTCTCCTTAAACTATGATTGACACGAATATATAAATTCCTATTTTCAATAGTGGGGTGTGGTGTTTGGGGTGGAGAGGTAACAATGGTGGTACAATCTTAAAAACGAATGAGGGTATTACATGAATTGAAAATATCCATTAAAGATTCAACTCCCTTTTTTATTAAAGCAGCTTTTAATATAAAAAGCAGTGTAAAAGAATTTGGTACATTTTAATATAATTGTATATAGTAACAAAAAATGGACATGGTTGTGGGGTGGTGGCGATGACCGTAGTGGCAAGGGCAGTAGTGGTGATGGTGGCGACAAGGGTGATGCTAGCAACAAAAGTGGGGGGTATGGTGGTGGTGCCAATAGTGGGGTGTAGAGGTAACAATGGTGGTAAAGAAGGCGATTCTCTTGTCAATGGTGGTGACTGTAGTTATGGTGGTGATGACGGCGGTGGTGGCGATTATGATGGTGGTGTTAATGGCAGTGGTGGTGTAAGGTTAGTGTTTGTAATAATAGGTGGTCACAGTCACTTTGTTCTCCAATGGATAAAGTGAATTGAAGGTTAAACAATGTAAACTTATAAAAACTAATGAGTTACATGAATTGAATATCTATTAAATATTCAACTCTGTTTTTTCTCAAAGCAGCTTTTAAAAGTAACATACAGTCTACTTTTAAATACTTTTTTTAATTGCTTAACTTTAAAGTAAAGCTGTTTTCAACCCCCAAAAAAAAAAAAAGCAATACAAAACGAAGCTTAAATGGTACGAGAAATGATTAGCTGAAATTAAAAATAAGAAGATCCAACATTTATAGAAATGAAATATAATGACTAAAAAACTCATAACATTGAGTACTAGGTAATGTTCAAAGCACACCTCATATAGATTGAATGCAATGACATAGTGGGTGGAATTGACAGAGTGGGGTTGGGACCATGACCATGTGGGTCAAAATTTACGAGGTGTACAAAATACAAAGTAGCAAATGAATAAAGGCCCATAATGTCACAACACGGACATTCAATTTTAATAAAAGCTTTTAAGTATATGAAACCACTAAAAGATCGATCATAAATAATGGAAAATGATTCTCGTCGGATTCTTTTTTAAGAGATTATATTCACACACCCCAAATTACTTCTTCCATATCTTTTTAAATTTTTAATATTTTCTATACATCACAAACACTTGATAGAAAAATATTAAAAAATTAAAAAGGTGTGGGAGAAATAATTTGAGGTGTGTGAATTTCTCCCTCTTTTCTTAGGGATCCTAAGGATCCCGTAATAGTGTCCGTTCATCGTACATCGTAAGGTCAGAAATTATTTAAAATTTAAAATTTAAAATTCAAATATAAATAGTACTTAACGAAAACTGACCACACGATATACGATGAACAGACACGATTACGGAATCCTTAAATAATTACATTTATATGATTCAGTAGTAGCAGTTGGTGATGATGATGAAGAAGAAGTTAGAAGAAGATTCTTATGTCTTTTCAGATTTCAGTGCTAAACTTTTAATGCTGTCACGAGAAGACCATGTTTTTGACATGACCTTAAACTACTTTTTGAGTTTTCACTTTCTTCTTTATGGCGTGGATAGAAAAATCGTTAGTGGTTGGGATCATCAACCGAAGGTGTAAGTAGCGCTCCAAAATAGTCATCATGTAATTTCTCGGAAGATGATTCTTTTGGAGTGTCGGCCTGCAGGTAAGATTTTATATGACACAAGAAGATTGTCACCGTCGCACTAACATAATGCTACATGAAGAGAAAGTTACGCACGACATTAAGAGAAAGTTACGCACGACATTGTATCTTTGTAAGTGGGCGTCACAGCGGCAATGTTCCCGTGCCATGGAGAGAGAAATTTCTCTCCAGAAGGTGAGTTCTTTGCTGGATTTGAGAACCTACTTAGACAACAAGTTAATGGGAAACCCTAGAGGTACCATAATGGGCAGTATTTTGGTTAACCAGAAGATTCACCGAAAGAAAAGTTGAACATCTGTGAATACGAACACACAAGACATACATGGTGAACAAATTTAATAGCTAATTTCAAGCATTTTCTGGCAAGGGAAACTTACAACGAAGATTCTGAAGGAGCATTTTCAAGAAACGAAAACAGAGAATTTGTGGATTACATAAACGTTACAATGCATAATGCTTGTTTATGATACAGAATGATTCAACGAGATGAGCATTACAACAGCGAAATCATGTCCTAGCGGAAACCATACCAATTACAGAACACGCCTTTCGTAAGCAGACACTGAAGAATGTTGCATTATCTTGCGCTTTGGAACTCTCCCTGCGCGAGTATTTCTTTAAAATCAGGATTCGGGAACAGGTTTGCCATAGACTAACGGAAATTCATCATACTGTTCGGAGAAACCGTGTTTCTCAGCAAAACTCTTCAGTGACTCGTAAACCTGGTACATGGAAGGCCTATCCTTTGGCCTAGAAACAACACAAGTACAAGCAACCCTCATAAACTGCAAAATTTCATCATCGTGACCTTTCCCAGATAAGACATTGTCAATGGCATCCATGCTTCGACCAGTGTTTGATAAATGATTCACCCAATCCACCAAGTTCCCCTTGAATCCTTCCAATACATTACTGATTTCAAGCGGCTTCTGTCCAGTCACCAATTCCAAAAGAACAACCCCAAAACCATACACATCCCCTTTCAACGATGCCACCATCGTGCTCGCGTACTCAGGAGCCACATAACCAAACTCTCCCAAATCCCCATTTACAAACGAACTGTCATTGGAGTCACGAGAAGCCACCAGCCTTGCCAGCCCAAAATCCGTTATGCGAGCTTCAAAATCATAGTCGAGAAGAATCACATTCGAGCTAATGTTCTGATGCATATAAGGCGGCTGACACGCATGGTGAAGCCAGGCAAGTCCTCTAGCAGCACCTACACCAATCCTTAGCCGAGTCGGCCAATCCAAAAAACCATACTGGCTATTCACATTACCACTTCCATGTAACTGGGAGTGTAATGTGCCATTGTACATGTGCTTATACACCAAAAGCTTCTCTTCCTCCAAACCACAAAACCCCAGCAAAGGCACCAAATTCGGATGCCTAACCTGCCCCAACCTATTCATCTCCAACCTAAACTGTTTCTCACCAAGCTTACACGCATTGAGCCGCTTAATCGCCATTGCCGACCCATCAGGTAGCACAGCCTTGTACGAAACACCGGTCCTCGTAGAAATGACAATGTTTTGGGGGTCGAAACTGTTGGTGGCGGCCAACAAATCTGCCAACCGGACTTTCACAATGGGTTTTTGAAACAGAGACACCTGAACAGCCTTGTGAGACCTCAATAACCCAACCCAGCCACCCTCACTCTTATCACCACCGCCAAAACTGTCACCAAAGCTTCGCTTTTTCCGACCCGCCCTGACGAAAAACCACCACCAAATGCCCAATCCCAAGATCAGAGACCCGGCAGCACTAATAGCACCGGCGGCGATGATAATGCCAAGGCTTTTGCTGCTCAATCCACCGCATTTCGACCCCAGAGGCTTCCCACAAAGCCCGTCGTTCCCATCAAAATCATCCTTCTCAAAATTCGACAGGTCCAGCGGAATCGTGCCGGTTAAATCGTTATTAGCGACGGACAATTTCTTCAGCCTATCGAGCCGGCCGAGCTCGTATGGCAAAGAACCGGAGAGGCGATTGTCGTTCAAAATTAGAGTGTTGAGGAACTTACAGTTGGCGATCTCCGGCGGGATCGAACCGGAGAGAGAGTTGCCAGAAAGATCTAGGGTTACGAGGTAAGGAAGCCAGTTGCAGATTTGGGGAGGAATCGAACCGGAGAGAGAGTTACCGGAGAGATCCAAGCTCTGGAGGCTGTGGCAGAACTTGAGAGACTCCGGGAGCTTGCCGGCGAGCTCCATTGACGGGAGCTGGAGGCTGATGAGGCGATTCTCCTTCTCGTTCCAGCAGGTAACGCCGACCAGCTTGCAGATGGAGGCCACCGACCTGTTGGCAAGGTCCCATTGGCTCAGCCGCCCTTCTGGATCGGTGAGCGAGGACTTGACGCCCTGGAGGCATGCGACGTCGTCTTCTATGGAGTAGCAGGGGAGGAGGGAGTTGAAGAGCAAGAGTGAGACTATGACCAAAATGACCTTCATGGTTGTTGGAAATTGCGATTGGTGTTGGGTATTTTCGGGTGAATTGTGGGCGGTGGGATTTAGGGCTGTGGATGTGGCGGCGGCGATGATGGCGACGGTGGAGGTTGGGGTAGATGGGAATGGGAATCCATTTGACAGTGGGTCTTCAGTCTTTAGCCTTGAGAAGGACCAGCCTTTTGGAGCTTTTTGAATGCCACCTGATATCTGGGCATTTTATGGGGTTATGGTGTCGTTTTATAGCACTCTTTTGACATAGACACATCGTAAAGGTGTCGTCTAATATAATAATCTTTGTTCACATGACACTATTTTATTAACATAGAATATTACGTAACAATGTATCAGTATCATCTAAATTGTTATTCTTGTAGTGTAGGCATTGTCGTACTGTCACGTGTTGTTATTAATGTAACAATGTACTAGTATCATCTAAATTGTTATTCTTTTAGTGTAGGCATTGCCGTGCCGTCATGTGTTGTTATTAATGAATCATCTTATTACATGTATATCTAATTACTAATGTAATACATAAAATAGAGCGTCAAAATGCTAGTGTTCCAAAACTAATCACAAATCGTCCTGTGTTAATTTCTCGTATAACTTACATAACTAGTTTAAGAAACGATAATATTACGACTATTGTTTCATTTAAATCTTTCTCGTGATATTTCAATTATATGACTAATTTGAAAGTAATTTAAAATGAACGAAAACGCTTTTAGAGAAAAAAAGTTAGGTTCCAAAAGCACTTCAGGTGCATTTCAGGATTTGCTTGCATTTTTACCAAATATTGGTTAAAAAAAACATTAAAAAAAACGTTGTCAATCATTTTAAAAGTAGATCCAAACGAGTTCATATTCTTCTATGTTACACAACCTGATTTGACACGTCTGTGATGACCTGCCAACTAATTAGTTTACCACTAATATATTAATAAGGTTTAGTTTGGAGTAAAGACAAACGCAACAAGTCTTGAGAGCTCCACTTAGAGTAGTTTGGGTTAGCTCCAACTAACCTATCGATTCTCATTTGTTTGGAATCTTTGTCTTAATATTTTAGGGTGTGTTTGTTTGGGTTCGCTAATCTTCAATGGATTGGACTACACTAAAAATTAATGAAGTTTCGTGTTGTAGTCACATGGACTAGTTTTAGTGGGACTAAACAGGATTCGTCTCGACTAGAGACCTCGTTAGAGGTTCTTAGTGAAGCCCTCCAAAATGCAGCGGATTGCTAAGCCATTCCTTCATTTGCTTTGTTTGTTGGCTGCCTCTTCCTAATCGACGACCTCGACATCAAATCCTCCACTCCTTTTCCCAAGGTCATCTCCCACTTTCTCTGTCAAGTCTTGACGATGGTTACCACCGCCGTAGTACCGCGTCATCTCACTGAATTCAGATGATATTGGTGGCGAAAAATTGATATTTTCAGATGGAAAGATGTAATGCTATATATCCTCAATCTTCCTCATATTTTCTTATTTTTTTGGTAATATAATATGAATTTCAGATTTTTGAATATGTTTTGTTTGGTTTAATGGTGTTTGCAATGGTTCTTTCTAATTTAAGCTGAAATTATAGAAAGCACCGTTTTTCTGGGTTTGTGTGTGTGTGTGTGTGTTTACCCACACATATATGTATGTATATGTTTTTGCTAGATTTGCTAAATGGCTTTTTGTATTATTTGTTCTCGTTGGTATATTTCCTTATTCACAAAACCCACATTTATAAATTTTATTTTTTTGGGGAAAAATTGTGATGGGTTGCTTTGTTCTGGATGGGTTTTTGTTTAAATGTGAAGCAAATTATCAATTGTTGGTTCTGAAATGTCAAGAATTTTGCAATTTTTAATATGGTAGACGGCACTTGTGGCAATTGCCAAAAGAAGAAAGAGGTTGGATTAAATACGGTATTTGAGTGACACCAACATACTTTGAACATGGTGAAGATGAAATGTTTAACAGAAATAACATGAATATTTGGTTGAAATTGAAGTTGAAGCAACTTAAAATATTTTGTTATATATCATGGGTTCTTTATATATATATAATTATCATGCTTCTAGTCTGAATCTGTACCAAATGCTTTACTAAGTTAGTTTAGTCTAAGGCAATCCAGCTTAATCCTTGAAGCTAATCCAGTCCGAGATAGTCCGATGCAACAAACGCACCCTTAAGGTGATATGAAACTTTTCACACTCTTTTTTTCTTTTTTTCTTTTCATATTTTAATTTTTGTGATTTTAGTTTAGGGTGGGCTTTCCGTGGCCATATGATTACTGTGAGGCCTCCGCATTTGGTGGATCTGGGAGTCTCATATGGTGATTAATTTTGGGTTTTTAGGGCCTTGTTCGAAAATGATGGTTTATTGGGCGTATCAACAGCCTAAAATTTATCTGGTGAACATCTGGGGTGGGCACGGTCCTCGCGGATCTAGGGTCCATTAATTAAACATCTAAACAAGAATCTATAGATCTTGTCAAGTTAAATGACCTAACAACGTTTCTTCAGATGTGTAAGTTAAATGTGCACTGGAAAAAGCCTCACTCTCTTAGATCCATGCAACAACTTAAAAGACAAGGCTAGGTAAATGTTTTTATAATGCTAAGAGAACCGAACTCTTGATCTAGCCTAAAATTTTTCTTCTTCTTTTTCATTTGTAGCCTAACCTCAATAGTTCAAATATTCGAATTCAATTATTTTCATATGTAATTTGGATTTTTTTATGCAAGAAGCGAGAAATTTTGGGTAGCACTGCTTGTTTAGGGCAACTATCAGACAACAATCATGTTTTTGTATAGGGGATCCAATTCCACCAATACAAGGATTTGAATTCCAAATTTTGTGTGGGCCCCACTGTTTTTTTTATTCATTCATGTTTAGTAAACACCATAGTACTCCATAATTGAAATTCAATTCCACATTCTCATTCCGATTACGGGTACGTAAACACACGGTGGGACACCGACTCTCCCAGCAGCTTCAGTAAAAAAGGAGAAAGGAAAAAGTATAGAGCATAAAAGAAGATCCAAGAAAATGATGCCATAATTGATGACCATGAAAGAGAATGGAGGGCATACGTCAGAGAACTCTTAGATCATCCAATGAAGGCATATATATATATATGAGGCCGATACGTAACATCACGTTTTTTTTATACAACTTTTGACACACGTTTTTTTCAGGAGCACTCCGTTATTTATTTTAACTATCTGAATCGTCCTTTTTTTAGAACATCATTCATAGATCATCTTTGCATAAAATTAAACAAATCCACAACCATTAAGAAATTCATTTGTGGTGAAGAAAATAGACAAATATGGTTCTACTAAGAAATCCAAAACCCTTATTCAAGTGGTAATATGGTTTTAAATTTGAGTGATTTTTTATAGGGAGTTTTAATGAAAAGTCCGCGTTACTGTTCACTTTAACGAAAAACCACATTTTTACACTAAAAAGTAAAACATAGTACTATTCTTTTTACTATTTATTTTGTCTTTATTATTAAAACTCAAGTTTTCAAGCCCTTTTCATTAGTTTTCCTTTTTTTATAGACATGATATTTGAAAGAAAACCTAAAAGATAGATGATTTAAATTGTTGAAATGCTTATAAAGTGGGCCCAACAAAAAATAGTGTTACGGATTCGGGAATGGAATGTGATTCATATGTGAACACACCCAGGAGAAGCTAAAGATTCGAACATTGTGAAGTGAACACGAGAAGAAGCAGCTGGTTCGTGTGAGAAACTCTCTTTCTCGAGGGAACAAAAAGATGTGTGTATTGGTGGTTGTGGCGAGAGAGGAACCAATTTAGGGAAAGCAATTACTTTGAAAATGTGGATAAAATCATTTGGAGACCAATCCTTTTTTTTGGGGAAACGATGGAGACGAATCTTGCCCCTAAAGCTTCTTTATTGGATTACTTGACGTTCCTGGCAAGAGCAAAGACCAAACGCATATGAATTCATCTACTCCTAATTATAATTAAACAACTCATTGGCTAGAACACGTTGTATCAGAAACAGTTGAAGTTAACTTATGTATGAGGTGCATCTTGTTCTTAACTAAAGTTTTCTCTGATAACCACGTTCTGTCTTATATAAATTTATTGATAGCTGTCGATGAATTTTTACGTTCTCAAAACAGACTAAGACAAGTCGAAGAGACTCGTAATGTTAGAATCAAGTTCTCTCTGCTATCTTTTGCCTTAAGTATATTCAAAATGGAAAATATTGTTGACCATCCACTCCTTCTCATTACACGACAACAATTATACAGAAAATTTAAAGAAAAAAGGAATTTTAGATCCTTACAGCACAAAACACATGAGAATTTCTTTCCAGCCAGAAAATAATAAAATTGAAGTATTTGCACAGTAGTGAAGTCCTTACTAATCTGCTCATCATCCAGTTAGTTTCAGCTGCAGGAACCCCACAGAACAGAATAACTTGACTTAATTTCCTTCCTTTTTGGTTTCTTTTATTTTTCCCATCTTTTTCCCGATTTCGTACAGCTTATTATAAATGCAATGAGATATATTCATAAATTGATCTGAAAATTTAACTTTCCCCCTCCAAACTCATTTTTTCTAGCCTCTAGCCCATCATATAATATTTATCCGAATAAAACCCAATGATTAGGATCCAACTAAGCAACTTACCAAATTAAGTTTGTGTGTCTGTTTTTATAATTTTTGGATCCCTAATATACCCCATCTAAGCAAGTATGGAAAGTTCTTGTAATTTTGTTTTAATTGATCACGTGCATTGAATTTGGCGAGGTCTTGTAGCCATGAAATATGGTTCTAGATGGAGGAATTAATTTGGAAATTTTTTAGTTTTGACAATAAATTTCAATTTGAATAAACCTAATTTAGTGTTTATTTTCAACAATATCTATTGTTTAATTTTATGAAAATAATCGTCTACTATGAAAATTAATTTTATGAAAACAATATCTATTGTTTAATTTTATACCTACAGTATAATTACATGAAAATAGTTTTACCTACTATGAAAATTAATTTTTTGAAAACAATATCTATTGTTTAATTTTATGAAAATAATTTACCTATTGTATAATTACATGAAAATTAATGTGCCTACTTTTTAAATTTGTAACAAAATTAATTTACCTACTTCTTATCGTGGTATTAGTATACGTAAATGTAGAATATATGTCCGTATATATTTGATCTAATTAGGTTTTGGATTGGAGGAGT